GAAAACCATAGAACATTGTCTTTCCTATAAGCTCTGGCAATTACAGACCAGAATTTGTTTGAATGAATTAATTCTAATACTTCTTTGTGCAGAGGAATTTAGATTATGAAGTACCCGAAGGACTTCATTATGAAGCAGTTTCACTTATAAGCAGGGCATCAATTTACCTATTTTGCTTCTGAGCAAGATGCAGACTTATGGGTAAAATATTCCCTTGGGTTAAGGCAGATGCCTTGAGCAGTTACGTTAATAACTATTTAGAGTAACTGTTTATGATTCATGAGCTAAGTGGGGTTATTTTCCTGTGGCTCACCAGACCATCTGTAAATTGGCCTGACACAGGGCTTCAAAAGAATAAATACATAGTAAAAAATTCTGAATTAGAATCAAGGCAGTTTTCTAAAATCAAAATCCCAGTTGTTGGTCTTAGACCCAATCAAGTGCCTTTTATGAAAAGCCTTTTATCAAACTTCTTTTCCTAATTCAATCTAGATGTTGACTATTGGCTAATATCAGCATGTGAACTTTAACATATGGCAGACAAATATTTCTCAGTTATTTTATATGCATTTTCAATGTTTGACTATATTGATTATATTACATAAGAAATATTGTGGAAAACATGCATCTCTGAGAAACTCAGATAAAAATAAAATGATTTAGTGTTCATAGCTATCAGGTCCTTGACATTTCAGTGAAGGTCTCAATGACAAATTATGAAGCACATACAATTTTAATTCTGAATGCAGCATATGGTTTTGTAAAAGTCAAACAATACAGATGTGAATAAGTACTTACATTCACTCCCCACTTCTCAGATATCTCTAGTGTGTAAAATTCTAGACCCTCTTCCATAAACATAACTTCATGTTTGTATATGCACAATGTGTGTAACTTTTGTTATATAAATATTGGGATCATATTATACTTGTTATATGGGAATCTATATTTTTCATCTTAAATGCGAACAACCACAAGAAGACAAAATTTATCACAGGTAACACATTATTACATGAATACTCTCTTTGTTGGTAATTAATGCAGTTGTCATCAATATTACTTTTTCTATAAAAATGGTTCTTGGTGAAAATATCCTTATAAATATTTCAATAACATTAATAATTGCAATGTGAATATGTAACATCCATACTTGATTCCAAATTCAAATGGTACGTACAGGAATACAGTGAAAAGTGAATTTCTCTCCTACTTTTATTTTCAAGCCACTCAATTTTGTCCTACCTTAAATAATCATTCCAGATATTCTGATTGTGTATATGTATATGTTTTTCTATAATGCTTTAATAATCTACATTGTCCTCTGTATCTTACTGTCTAGCTTCATTACAGATCACAGTGTGAGCTGCCCATTTCTTTTTCTTGACCATGAAGTATTCCCTTGTGTGGATGTTGTATACTTTAGCAATTGAAGTATTAAATAATCCCTTATTAAATTGTTTCCTATCTTTGCCATTTCAATAAAGCTAATGTCTTTATACATGTGACATTTACTGGTGGTCATTTAACTGTAGCATCGTTCCTCAGTGTGGAATTACTGCATTAAAGAATATGTGCAATTTTATTTTGAAAAGTTTCAAATTTCAGAATTCTTGTACAGGGACACTGTAAAAATATACTCTCTTTCCAGCAATGTGTAAGAGAGCATTTTTTCTCTTTTCTTTTTTTAAATTTTTTCAAAAATTTATTTTATTTTATTTTTTTTTGACAGGAAGAATGGACAGTGAGAGAGAGACAGAGAGAAAAGTCTTCCTTTTGCCATTGGTTCACCCTCCAATGGCCACCTCAGCTGGCGCACTGTGGCTGGCGCATCGCGCTGATCCGAAGCCAGGAGCCAGGTGCTTCTGGTCTCCCATGCGGGTGCAGGGCCCAAGGATTTGAGCCATCCTCCACTGCACTCTCAAGCCACAGAAGAGATCTGGCCTGGAAGAGGGGCAACCGGGACAGAATCCGGCGCCCTGACCGGGACTAGAACCCGGGGTGCTGGTGCCGCAGGTGGAGGATTAGCCTATTGAGCTGCGGCACCAGCCTTTTCTCTTTTCTTATTCACTCTTTTTAATCATTCTTTTTCCTTAATCATGGACAAATTGATAGAAGAAAGTGATATGATACCTCATTATGATTTTGTTTCCTGTATTTTAAAGCTAGCAGTGGGTTGAACATCAATTCATATATTTAAGAATCATTTATGTTGTCTTTTTAGAGTTTTTTAAAAAATATTTAAGGTATACAAATTTCATATATATATATATATATATATATATATATACAGTTTTAAGAACATAGTAATACTTCCCACCCTAACCTCCCTCCTGCCCATGCTCCCCCACTTCTTCCTCCTCCCTCAACTATCTCCACTGTTAATTTTTACAAAGATCTACTTTCATTTTACTTTATACTCATAAGATTAACCCAACACTAAGTGAAGAGTTCAACAAATACTAAGAAGAAAATAGCACTGTTCCTCAACAGCAGAGACAAGGGCTGTCAATAATCATCAAATCTCAAAATATCAATTTCATTCCTGTAGATTACTTTCTATGTACTCTAATAGTTACTATAGATCAGGGAAAACATATGGTATTTATCTTTTTGGGACTGGCTTATTTCATGAAGTATGATGGTCTCCACTTGCACCCATTTTGTTGCAAACCACAGGATTTCATTTTTTATACTGTTGCATAGTATTCCATAGTGTATATATACCATAATTTCTTTATCTCATCTTCAGTTGTTAGACATCTGGGTTGATTCTGTAGCCTAGCTATTGTGAATTGAACTGCAATAAACATGGGGATACAGATCACTCTTTCATATGCTTATTCATTTCCCTTGGATAAATTCCCAGTGGTGGGGTGGCTGAGTTATAGGTAAGTCTACATTCAGATTTCTGGGGTATCTTCATACTGTCTTCCACAGTGGATACACCAGTTTACATTCCCATCAACAGTGGATTAGGGTACCTTTTTCCCTACATCCTCACCAGCATTTGTTGTTTGTTGATTTCTATATGCGAGCCATTCTTACTGGGATGAAGTGGAACCTCATTGTGATTTTGATTTGCATTTCCCTGATGGCTAGTGATTCTGAACATATTTTCATGTGTCTGTTGGCCATTTGAATTTCCTCCTTTGAAAAATGCCTGTCAAGTCCTTTGCCCATTAATTAACTGTATTATTTATTTTGTTGATATTGAGTTTCTTGAGCTCTTTACAGATTCTGGATATTAATCCTCTATCAGTAATAGTTTGCAAAGATTTTCTCCCATTCTGTCAGTTGACTCTTCACTTTGCTGAGTGTTTCCTTTGCAGTGCAGAAGCTTCTCAGCTTCATGTGATCCTATTTGTTTTTATAGCCTGTGCTTCTGAGGTCTTTTATTATTAAGTAGTATTTGATTATGTATATGTGCAAGAGTTTCTTTGTTAAAAATTATTTATTTAAAAATTAATTTGAAAGGCAGAGAGAGAGAGAGAGAGATTGATTGCCCATCTGCTGAGTCAGTTCCAAAATACCTGTGATAGCCAGAGTTGGGCTAGACCAAAGATAAACCACAACTCAATCTGTGTCTTCCATGCAGATGGTGGGGATTCAAGTACTTGAGAGCCATTACTTTCTGACTAAGGGTTAGCAGGAAGATGGAACTGGAAGCAGATTTTGGAGTTGAACCCAGGTACTCCAATGTGGGATGCAAGTGTTCTGAAGCAACATCTTAACTGCTACATCAAATGTTTGTACCTATGTGCCACATTTTCTTTAACTATTCATCAGTGGCTGGCCACTGAGGTGGTTCCTTTTATTGGATAGTGTGAGTAGTGCTGCAGTAAACAGCACTAAAAATAGTGCTGTAGATGTCTCTTCGACAGACTGATTTCATTTCCTTTGGTTATATACCAAGTATTAGGATTGATGGATCATATTTTAGTTCTATTTTTAGTTTTATGAGGAACCTCCGTACCGTTTTCCACTATGGTTGTATTAATTTGCTTTCCCACAATGTGCTAGGGTTTCCAATACTTGTTTGCTGTCATTTTTATAATAGTGAGTCAACTGGAGTGAGGTTATATCTATTGTTTTGCTTTGCCTTTCCCTGTTGATTGGTGATACTGAGCATTTTTTCCTCAAAGGAAAAAATTTGTATGTCTTTGATAAATGTTTAGATATACTTCTATTGAGTTGTTTTAGTTCTGTTTTGGTTATTTGCTACCAGTTGATTGTTTCCTTTCCTGTATAGAAGCTCTTTAGTATGATGGAATTCCATTTGTCTACTTTTTTTAAAATAAATTTTCTGTGATGTTTTTCCCCTTTCTCATTCCAATGTACTGAAGAATTTCCTATATGTAGTCTTCTAGTAGTTTCAAAGTTTTAGATCTCACATTTAGCTCCAATCCATTTGTAGTTAATTTTTGTACATGAGAAATACAGGTATACTTTCATTCTTCTGCATGTGTGTATCCAATTTCCCAGCAACATTTATTGAAAATACAGTCATTTTTACAATGTATGTTCTTGGCAACTTTGTCAAAGATGTGTGGATTTCCTATGGGTACCATTATGTTCCATTCTTTCATGTCTTTATTTTTATGCCAGTTCTGTGCTGTTTTAATTACTATAGTTTTGTAATAGATTTTAAAGTCAGGTAGTAAAATGCCTCCTGCTTTGTTCTCTTTGTTCAACATTGCTTTTACTATTCAGAGTCTTTTGTGCACAATTTTTTTTTGTGAAAAGTGTCATTGATATTTTGATAGGGATTGCATTGTATCCATAATTCATTTTGGGTGATATGGATATTTTAGCAATATTGAATGTTTCAATCCACAAACACGGGATGTCTTTCTGTTTCTTTATGCACTCTTTAATTTCTTTTAGCAGTAGTTTCATTTGGAGATTTTTCATGTCTTTGGTAAAAATTTTTCCTGTGTACATTTTTATTATTTTTTGGATAGTTGCTGGAAATTGATTTGCTTTCTTCATTTCTCTTTCAGATACTACTGGAGTATAAGAAGACTGATTTTTGGACATTGATTTTGTATTCTGAAACCTTGCTTAAGTTGTTTATTAGTTTTGAGAGGTTTTTTGGTGGAATCTTTGGGATTTCCATGTATAAGATCATATCATCTTCAAACTGTGACAATTTAACTTTTTCATTTCCAATTGGATGCTCTATTTCTTTCCTCTGCCTTGTGCTCCAGCTAGGAATTCCAGTACTATGTTGGATAAAAGTGGTGAGTATAGGCATCCTTATCCTATTCTGGATCTCTGTTATATACTGTCATCATGAAAGGATGTTGAATTTTTTAAAATACTCTTTTTTGCATTTATTGAGATAATGATATTATTTTTGTCCTTCATTCAGTTTATGTGATGCATCACATTTTTTATTTGAGTATGCTAATGTACCCTTGCATCTCTGGGATGAATTCTCTTCATCATGATGAGTGATCTTTTTTATAACGATTTATTTATTTATTTATTTGAAAGTCAGAGTTACACAGAGAGAGGAGGAGAGGCAGAGAGAGAGAGAGAGAGAGAGAGTCTTCCACCCACTGGTTCACTCCCTAAATGAGGCACAATGTTTAGAGCTGGGACAATCCAAAGCCAGGAGCCAGGAGATTCCTCCGAATCTCCCAAGTGGGTGCAGGGGCCCAAGGACTTGGGTCAACTTATACTGCTTTTCTAGGCTATGGCAGAGAGATGTTTAAAAGCGGAGCAGCTGGGACTCATACTGGAGCCCATACGGGATGACGGCACTGCAGGCAGCAGCTTTACCCACTACGCCACAGCGCCGGCACCTGAATGATCTTTTTAATGTGCTGTTGGGTTCAATTTGCTAGTATGTTGTTGAGGGTTTTTGCCTCTATGTTTATCAAGAATATTAACCAGTAGTTTTTTTTTTTCTTATGTCATTATCTGATTTTGGTTTCAAGAATATTGCAACCATAGAATGAATTTGGAACAATTCCCTCCTTTTCTGTTTTTTGAAATAATTTAATAATTGGTGTTAATTCTCCTTTAAATGTTTGGTAGAACTCTACAGTGAAGCAATCTTGTCCTGGGCTTTTTTCCCTGGCTTTAAAAAATATATTTTTTATTTGGAAGACTTAAAAAAAGATTTATTTATTTGGAAGAAGGGAGAGGGAGAGGCAGAGACAGAGAGATCTTGCAATGCAGGTTCACTCCCAAGATGGCCACATGGTCAGGGTTGGGCCAGGATAGAGCTCGGAGCATCATCTAGGTCTCCCACATTGGTGGCAGGGGCTCAAACACTTGGGCCATCTTCTGCTACTTTCCACAGTCCATCTGCAGGAAGCTGGTTTAGAAGTGGAGCAACTGGGACATGAACCAGTGTTGATATGGGAGCCAGCATCACAAATGGCAGCTTTACACACTATGCTACAATGTCCGCCCCAGTAGTAGACTATTTATTACTCATTCAACCTCACCTCATTATTGTTCTGTCTAGGTATTCTATTTCTTCATGATTCAATCTTGGTAACTTGTATGTGTTTAGGAATTTGTCAGTTTCTTCTAGATTATCAAATCTGTTGCAGCATAATTTTTTAAATTAAAAATTTTATTTATTTGAAAGGCAGAGTTATGGAGGGAGAGAGGAAGGGAGGGAGGGAGAGAGAGAGAGGTCTTTTATCTGCTGGTTCACTCCCCAAATGACCATAACCCAAGCCGAGGCCAGGAACTTCTTCCAGGTCTCCTACGTGGGTGCAGAAGCCCAAGGACATGGGCCATGCTTTGATGCATTACAAATTGTAATTTTGATTACATTAGCAGGGAGCTGGATCAGAAGTGGAGTAGCTGGGTTTCCAACAAGCACCCATATGGGATGTTGGCACAGCAGGCTGTGGCTTAACCCACTGAGTTTTCTTAGTTTGGCTAAGATTTGTCAATTTTGTTTATTTTTGAAAGAACCGACCCTGTGTTTCATTGATGATTTTTTCTCTTTGAGAATCTTTTAGTTGTGCTCTGAGTTTTGTTATTTCTTTCCTTCTACTAATGTTGGGTTTGACTTTTTCTTGTTTTTCTAGTTCCTTGGGAGTAAAATGATAAGTTGTTTATTTTAGATCTGTTCTCTTTTGATACAGGCATTGGCTTCTATAAACTTCCCTCTTAGTGGTGTTTTTGTTCTATCCCATAGGTTTTGTGTTGTGTTTCCATCTTCTTGCATTTCAGAAATTTTTAAGTTTCCTTCTTAATTCCCTCCTCAACCATTGTAGTTCAGAAGTACATCATTTAATTTCTACATATTTATATAGTTTTTAATGTGTCATTATTACTGATTTCTAATTTTATTGCATTGTGATCAGAAAAGAATCAGTAGAATTTTTATTTAGTTTTAGACATATTTAGACAGCTTTTTTTTTTTTTACAAAATTTTATTTTATGTATTTGAAAGGCAGAGTTACAGAGAAAGAGAGGGGGGGAGACAGAGAGATCTTCCATCTGCTGGTTCATTCCCTAAATGGCCCTAGTGGCCGAGGCTGGACCAGAGCAAAGCCAGGAGTCAGGAGGTTCATCTCATTCTCCCACATGAGTGCAGCAGCCTAAACACTTGGCCCATCTTCTGCTGCTTTCCCAAGCTGGATTAGAAGTAGTGCTGGGACTCAAACCAGTGCCCATGTGGTATGCTGGCTTTGCAGACTCTGGTTTAACCCACTAAGCCATAATGCCAGCCCCAGGCTTTTTACTTTTTTAAAAAATATTGATACTTGTTTTGTGACCTACTGAATGATCTGTGCTGGAGAACATTTCATGTATTGTAAGAATAAAGTGTATTATTTAGCTTTTAGATGGGCAATTAATTCTGTTTCTTTGCTAGTTTCTGCCTGGATGATCTGTCTGTACATATCTGAAAGTGGGTGTTAAAGTCCCCTATTCTTATTGTGTTAAAGTCTAGATGTATTAATGTTTGTTGTATGTATTCATATACTCTAATATTGGGTACATATATTTCTATAATTGTTATTTCATCTTGTTGTATTGATCACTTTTTTATTATATAACAGCCTTGTCTTTTTATTTTATTTTATTTATTTATTTTATTTAAAATAAATTCCATCTGATATAAATATCTAATTCCTGCTTTCTTTTGAGCTCCATTTGCAAGGAATGTCTTACTCCTTATTGTTTTCAGTCTGTGCATATCCTTAGTGATGAAGTGAGTTCCTTGTAAGCAGTATACATTTGTATCTTTTTTCAAAAATACGTTTGCTTGCTCTATGTCTTTTAATTAGAGAATTTAAGTCCTTTTACATTTTAGGGAGTTATTTATAGATGAGGTCTTGCTACTGTCATTTTGATATATGTTGTCTAGTTTTATTGTGATTCCATTCTTTCTCTTAGAATTTTCCTTTGAAGATAAATGATTTTTCTCTAGTCATGTGTTTTCATAGCTTGCTTATTATTTTTGGTAAATCTAGTGTAGATTTTTATTTTGTGGTTACTTTGAGACTTATAAATTTTTTATTATAACAGGTTATTCTGAAATGATGAAAATCTAAAATTTGCTGTAAATTTAGGAAAAGAAACAAAGAGGTAGGAAATACTAATAAAGAACTCTATACTTATACACCCTCCCTCAGCACATTTTAAAATTAAAAAATAATTTATTTACTTATTTGAGTAGAAGAGAGAGTGAAGGCCAGCGCTGCGGCTCAATAGGCTAATCCCCCACCTGTGGCGCCGACACACCGGGTTCTAGTCCTGGCCGGGGTGCCGGATTCTGTCCCAGTTGCCCCTCTTCCAGGCCAGCTCTCTGCTGTGGCCTGGGAGTGCAGTGGAGGATGGCCCAAGTGCTTGGGCCCTGCACCCCATGGGAGACATGGGAGACCAGGAGAAGCACCTGGCTCCTGGCTTCAGATCAGCGCAGTGCGCCGGCTGTGGCGGCCATTGGAGGGTGAACCAACGGCAAAGGAAGACCTTTCTCTCTGTCTCTCTCTCTCACTGTCCACTCTGCCTGTCAAAAAAAAAAAAAAAAAAAGAGAGAGAAAAAAGAGAGAGAGAGAGAGAACTCTTATCTGCTAGTTCATTTCCCAAATGTCCATTATGGTCAGAACTAGGCTCGGTCAAATTCAGAAGCATAAACTCAATCCAGGTGTTTCATAAGAGTGGTAGGAGCCCAGTTACTTGAAACATCATTACTGCCCTCCAGGGTCTGCATTAGCAGGAAAGTGGAGTCAGGAGTTGGAGCCATACAATAAACTTATGCACTCCAATATGGAATGGGGTATCTTAACAGGTAGGCTAAATGCCCACCCCCATTTTGAATTTTTAAATTTTGTAAAAAGAACTATTTATTTGAAAGTGTTACAGAGAGACGGGGAGAGACAGAGACAGATGTTCAGCCTCCTGGTTTACTCTACAGATGGCAACAATGCCAAGGCTGGACCAGGGCAGAGCCGGGAGCCTTATTCAAGTTTCTCACATGGGTGGCAGGGGCCCAAACACGTGGGCTGTCTTTCACTGTTTTTTCCAAGCTATTTTCAGGGAGTTGGATTGGAAATGGAGCATCCAGGACATGAACTGGTGCCCATATGGGATGCTGGTGTCATAGGTGGTGGCTTCACCCACTCACTATACCACAATGCTGGCACCTCAACTTTGAATTCTTGATATCCCATTTTGCCCATTTCTATATTTCTTGTCTCTTGGTATATTAATTTATTTTTAAAAGTTTTGTTTCTTTCATCTTCGCACTAAAGCCATGAATGATTTATACACCATATTTACAAAAATAGAACATTCTGCATTTGTCTGTAGAGTTATTCTTACCAGTGAGTTTTCTACCTTCTCATATTTTCTTCTTACTCATTAGCATCTCGTACTTTCAGTTTAAAGAACTCCTTTCAGTATTTTCATAAGACGAGCCTGGTGGTGATATATTCCCTCAGATTTTGTTTGTCTGGGAATGTCTCTTTCTCTCCCTCCTCTGTGAAGAATGGCTTTGCTGGGTAAAATGTTCTTTGCTGGCAATTTTCCCCTTCAGTAGTGTGAAAGTCTCATCCCACTGCCTTCTGGCTTCTAAGCTTTCTGCACAGAAGTCTGTAATCAGGTGAATTGGGAATCCTTTATAAGTTGTTTGTTTCTTTTCTCTTGTAGCTTTGAGAATCCTCTCTTTATCTTTAACCTTAGACAGCTTGATTTTAATGTCTTGGGATAAACTTGATTGGACTGACTATGATGAATGATGTTTAAACTCTCTGTACCTGAATAGTTGTATCGTTTTCCAGGCTTGGAAAGTTTTGTTATTATTTCTTTGAATATTCTTACTATCCCTTTAGCATTCTCAAACCCCTGTTATCCTCAACAACTCAAGTACTTTTTTCATGCTATCCCGATGTAGCTGCACACTTTCTTCATTTCTCTCAATTCTTTTTTTTTTTTTTTTTTTTTCGGTCCAACTGTACAATTTGAAAAAGCCTATCTTTGAGTTCACTGATTTTTTCTTCTGTTTGATCTATTTTTGTGCTATTGACATCTTCTATCATGTTTCCAATTTTGCTTAGTTCACTTTTCAGTTGGATTTCTGTTATTTTAATTACTTTCATCTCTTTGTCAAGTCTCTCTTTAATATTAAATTGCTTCTGTGTGTAAGGGAGACTGTGGTTCCCTAGTAGTTCTGATTCTTGTTGGTATGTGAGATCGTCTAAGTATGGAAGGACTAGGTATAGAAATCTGGCTTCATTTGTGGCTATCCTTCCCGAAATGCTAAGTAGTATATTTATTTTCTATGCGCCTATGGATTTTTCTGCTATTTCAGCACTAGATGGTGCCCTAAACTGTCTTCCACATGTTCATTGTTGATGTGTTTTCGTTGTTTTAGTCCTAAAACACTCCTCAAACTCAGAATTATCCCAAATGTGCGTGTTGTTCTGAATGAGCTGGGGAAGTGCCTACAATGTTGTAGTCCATCCTTACAAGCCTTTTCTGAGGTTCAGGTTGGTGAGTCTCACCTGGGTTGCATGGTCATTAGGCCCTAATCTTGGAGGTTCATGCCAGGCCATGTGAGGTAAGCACTGATACATGCTAAAACAATTCCACCCTACCAGGTTGCAGATCTCTACCTGATACTGCAGCAAATCTGGGGACTCCATTAGGCCTTGGCCTGGGGATGGGGACCATTGGGATCTGCCTAATATTGGACCATACCAGCTTGGCACTGAGTCTCAAGATATAGTCTTAAGGTTCCTAGCTGATTGTCCAAGGTTGGAGGATTATGCTGGAGGTATCTCCTTAGCCTCCTGCACTGGCTTTAGGCAATGTCACACCTGGATCTCAGAGTCAGTAGGCCCTACAAGGTATTAGAGGCACACACCAGAGGTCCTGTCTGTGAGCACTGGGCTGGGGTAGTTTCTGAGGCTCATAGCCGTGGGCCCAACTCTGAGTTCCAAAGCAATATTATAATTTTACTCTCCAGACCCTCTCCGCACTGACTGGAGTTTTGCTCTGCTTTCTCCAGCATGTTGGGGAACCAGTGGGGAATGTTGTCTTCTGGCGACCATGCTATGGAAGGTCCAGATACTCAATAAGCAGGTATGGGCCTAGGGACAAGGACTATGGGGCCTGTTCCTACTCTCATTTTCATTGCAGTAAGCCTGACTCTGGGCGTAGATAACTTGGTGTGTGAATAACAGTTCAAATTGGTGTCTCTGTTGGGAGATGATCACTGGAGTGTCTTATTCAAAGCTGCCATCTTGCTCTACTTCTGTTGTTGAGTTTTTGGAATTTCTTTTATATATTCTGTAAATTAATCCCTTGTCAGATGAATAGTGGGAAAATGTTTTCTTGAAAACTTTTATGTGGTAGAATTTTTAAGATCTATATTGATTTCTGACTTTTGTTTGATATTTAGAAAGTTCATTTCCTTATCCAAGTTGTTTTTAAGAAATCACTGGGTCTGTTTTGTACTTCTCTGGCTTATCTTTTGTATGTGGATCTTAGATTCATCTGTAAATTATTTTGCTTATTTTTCTAATTTAGGCTTGGAATCTAGTTGTACTGATTTAATCACCTTATGTGACACAAAAGGCTACAGACTAGATTTGAAGATACCAGCTATTCCATTAGAAGCTTTCATTCATTTTAATTTTTTTTAGTATTCTCAAATTGTTACTGCACAAATTATCTGAGTATGAGGCAGGATAAATCCTGGATTGTAATTTTTGCTTCTGAAGTCAGACAGAATTTGATTTAAATTTTGGCTCTACTATTTACTAGCCATAGCACCTTTGGAAAATGCCAATGGCCATCATAGTTTCTGTGCCTGCACCATAAGTTTCTGTGAGGATTTATTGGGCTGATACCTGTCAGGTACCTGGTACACATTAAATACTTGGTAGTGGTTTATATCATAATGATGATGATCATTATTATTGCTGTTAATGACTCACAGTAATGTTATTGTCACTAGGAAAGCCTGTAGAGCCACAATGAGACTGCTCTCTCTGCTGAACTGGAGAGGAACCCAGTGTCAAAAATGGACTAGGTGGCAATGTCATCGTCTGATGTGCTATCTCCAGATGAAACACAACACACTACCAAAACCAAAGTGCTTCAGTGTTGTACTACAGCAAAGCTGGTGACGGGACCTGTTCCCTTGTGCATGATATATTGTCTCATGCCCCTGAGGAATTCTTCTGGATCCCAGTGGCCACCAAGCTTTTCAGGAAGCTTACAGACTCATAGCTACTTAATTATGAGAGTCAAATGCAGGCCAGTGGGAGTGGTGGGTAACAGATGCAGAAAGTAAAGGAGAATGTATTTATTTACCAGAGATGGGTAAAACCTCACAGGGATTCACAAAATTAAAAAGGCACAAAATTCAGAATTTCTGTGTAATGGATGTCAAAAAGCAAAGTTAAAAACACTCTGATATATATTATATATATAAAGATAACAAGCTCATTATTTAAGTATTTCATGCAAATTAAGAAGAAAAAACATTGTAGAAATTCAAAGAATTAAGAATGGCTAGAAGAAATATTAAAAGTGTTCAACTACAAATTAAAACAGGAATAATTTTAGCCTTTATGAAACAACATTTAAAATGTAATAACCAAGAGGTCAAATGTCATTTGGGAGTATCTAAAAATTGTATGACATACACACTTGGAACTATGACACTTTCAGATATCACTTCTACATACTGACATGCATCCACTAAGATATAGAATTAAAGGGAGTAATTATAGCATTAAAAGAAGTGGAAAAAGCAATCTGAAATATCCATCAGTAGAGTAAAGATTGCTATGGAATGACATACAAAGGCTAAAAGAGTGAGGTAAATTCTGACATGGGAAGATTTTCCAAACATATCATTATAAGAAAAAGCAAGTTGTACAACAAATTCTATAGTATGATTCCAAAAGTGAAGAGAAACCTTCCCAACAAGAACATATATTTGTAGTTACTGCATAGAGAAATGTCTGGGAAAATGCACACATCTGTGTTAATTTAGAATGTCTCTGATGAGGAAAATAAGATTCGTCAGGGAGGAAGGTACAGTGGAGGAAGTAAAAGAGAGACTATGAGACATCTTGACTTTTTTATGTACCTCTTTGTTGTTTAAAATGTTCATAACCAAAATGTATTCAAGTGTATTTCTGAAACCAAAACTTAGGAAAAAAAAGATATCATGGTTATCCTTACACAGCGCTACTTGGTAGGATCCGTCATAGAATGACTGCTCCTACATTCTCGCCAATGGTCATTTACATTTTAAGAATACAACAGACAGCCAATTATGAGATCACAAATATTCAGGGCATATAGCAGGGCTTTTCACAAACCACTAAACATAGGACGGCCTCGCCATAGTGTTTGTTTTAAGATAATGCCTAGGTCCTCATTAGAGTTAGGAGCCAGCTTCTAATGATGTGATTTTGCTGACAAACTGCACTCAGCCCCTTTGTACTAAATTCTGCTCTGCAGCAAGCAATGAAACATTCTGGAGTGGGCTTTCTTCTCTGCTGTGATCCTACTGAA